AGCGCGGCGGCGCGCCGCCGCAAGAGCAGTTTGATGTGGGAGAGCATGTGGGCGACGCTCTCGGCCTCGGTGAGGGGTCGGAGCTGAGACGCGGCGGAGGTAGTGGGGCAGGAGGAGGGGGGTGAACCGCCGCCATTGTCGCCGGCGGAGAAGAGTGTGAAGCTGTCATCGGACCAACAGATGCTTTCGCGGCGAAACGCCGCCGTGGCGAGGCGTTTTCCGGTTTGGAGAAGAACCATGGCGTCCTCCATTAGACCCAGATGGCAACAAGCTTGACCCAGGACCAAGTACCTGCAAAAGATGACACATCCGAATCACGATTTCAGTCAAACTCTTTGACAAGTTCATCGATTGAATTCTATGGAAACATTAAAAGCCAAACCTAAAGAGGGAAGAAGGTTACCTCCATTGACCTTCCTCGCCGCAGTTTTTACCGAGTCCTGCCATGACCTTCTTTTTCAAGTCCGAGACCGAGAAGCACTTGAACGACGACAAGTTATGACTCGGCGATTCGCTCAGAAGCTTGACTCCATCCCGCGACAACTGGGTAGAAGAGAGCTCCGACGAGACGACGCCGGAGTCGTCGCCGGTCATTCTGAGGCTGGGGATGTGATCCTGAAGCATATCGGCGACATCCTTGAATCTGCGGAGGTAGAGAAGCGATCTGGCTTTGATTTCAAGAGCGAGTTCGTAGCGAGGAGAGAGCGAGAGCGCGGCGTCTAGGAAGCGAAGAGCCGATGCGACGTCTTCTGGATCCTGGGTCGATATCAAGCTCCTCGCATCCTTCATGTACTTCTCCACAATCTGAAAACGGGACAGACGACAACATTTTCAATCAGATAGATGCACGGGAGATTCAGTTACTATTTTGAATCAGAAAGGCCAAGAACAATCCATTGCAGAAGAGAGTATTCATTTTGAATTTCCCAAATGCAGGGGTCAGCAATCGTCAAAACGAAGCAGAGTTTATCGAAAATAAGATGGATTTCGAATTCACCTTTCTGTTACGGAGCCACCAGTGCTTCTTCTCGCCGCCGTTCAAGAAAGGATGGACCGCCATTGCAGCTACTCCCGGTCCTCGAATTCGGCAGAACACAAAAATGGATCAGCGGAAACACACAGAACACGAAATCTCTCTATCTCTCTGTCTTTCACGCACCCCCTCGATCTCTCTCCCAGATCGGAGAAAAGGAAGAGGATTTAATAGATACAGCGAAAATGCGAGAGGAAAAGTGGCAACAAGAGAGAGAGAGAGAGAGAGGAAATGAAATCATGTGAAGAAATGAAATGTCTTAAATACGGGGGAGAGAGTTGCGGAGGAGAGAGAAGTGTCTATGAAATGACGGATTTGCCCCTCATCTTCTTGATCATCGAGGCTCGTAGCTGTCAGCCGCCTTTGCTTTCATATACCAATGTCTAAAAATATTTTTTCAAAAACAATTATATTTTTTCACACATTGAATTAGAGAAAGAAGATGAACGTTTAATGCATCCGTTTGACCCATTAATCCTATCGTTTTATATCTCTAAACCAACGTTATAATCCATAGTTTGGAAATAATCATTTTTATGTACTGATGTTTGACCATATCTCACTTTATAACTTATAATGGTATGGTTATTGATTATAATCTCCCTGAAAAAATATTGTATGTTTCGTATTCTATATGAAATGATTCTTTTAAAGTATTTTCGACCGGAATTTATCATTTTGCGTGGTGATGAGATGAATACCAAGAGTTCTTGTGGGGATGAGGACTAATCTTATCTCCTAAGCCACAAGAATCATTCTTTTTTATTACATTTATTTTTATGTTTCTTTTTTCATTTATCGATTTTGAGTTTACCCAAATCCCGATCAATGAATTCACATGCGTATACATACATATAATATATATATATATATAATATGGTATTGGATGGATCAAAAGATGGCCAAGTTTGGTTTGCTTCAAAGTCTTTCTGTTTTCTTACTCATCGATCTAAAAAAAATGTAACATAGCTAGCAATGCCACTTTTAGATGTTGGGTATGTAGGTACAGATCATCCATGTATAATGATAAATAAATAATAATTCATCTACGTATATATATATATAAGCACGTACATACAAATAACAAAGTTTTGTACGTATAACAAAAAAAAAAACAAAGTTTTGTACGAAATATGTTTATTGTGTGTGTGTGTATGTGTTTTATTTACGGAGTTAAAGAAAGTAAATGTTTTTCCACCTAACATCTTGCTTTTTCAGTTGCTGCAGCTCTCTCATACACGCAACAATTATACCGCTCTAGATGTATATATATATATATGTGTATATATATACGGAGAATATAGAAAATAAATGAAAAAGTTGGAAAACAAATAATAGAGTGGACGTGGATTCACTTGCAAGATTTCAATGTGGCCATTGTTTTATTGGACAGTATTAATATAACGCCTACAATATCAAATATCTATACATATTGGATATTGGTCGCGAATTCAATATGATTATTTTCCCCTCTTGGTCACAATTAAAAATCATATGTATGTATGTATGTATGTATGTATGTATGTATGTATGTATGTATGTATGTATGTATGTAGCCACAGATAAACCAAAGTAATAGAATTATGAAGTTGTATGTATGTATGTATGTATGTATGTATGTATGTATGTATGTATGTATGTATGTATGTATGTATGTATGTATGTATGTATGTATGTATGTTGGTCACAATTAAAAATCATATGTATGTATGTATGTATGTATGTATGTATGTATGTATGTATGTATGTATGTATGTATGTATGTATGTATGTATGTATGTATGTATGTATGTATGTATGCAGCCACAGATAAACCAAAGTAATAGAATTATGAAGTTATTAGATAGGGCTCCACTATATATATATAGGAGAGGGACCAGAAGATTGATCATTGGAAAATGACGACGTTACGAAATTATTTATACGAAAGGGGTTTAGGGTTATGCATGTGTATAGACCATACAAACATGCATGTCTGCATCATGTTTCCAGCTCTCCCTTTGTTTTGTCTGGAACATCTTGAATATTAAGATTTGAAATTCGGTAGTCGTGAATTTTGGATAACATAATTTTTTTTAAGTGTATAATCAAATTGAATTTTGTATAATAATAAGAAGAATTTTATAATTGATAATAGCTATATGTGCGTGTGTATATCTCGTAATTTTAAAAAAAAATGAAAAGAACTTTTCATTATTTTAAAAAAATTAAAAATAATATTATGATATTTTAATAACCATAAAAAGTAGGTGTAATTGTAATTATATAGAGTATCCGCAGATATTCATCTATTGTCGCGACTTATATCTAAGTCTACACGTACGTATGTAACATCCAAATCCGATCTAGATGATTCACATACACACGATATAATTTATATATAGTATACGCATACACACGCCATTGACGCCAATATATCGATCTATGATTAATTAATTGCATAATTATATTTGAGCGGCACTATATGTTATATAAGGCGATGAGCGGATCATATCGAATTCGATTATACATTTACTAGTTTACTAAATTGAAATCGAAATGAAAACAATATATAATTGCAACATGAGAGATAATGGTGGGGTTTGTTTTAGTTGTCACATTTTAAAATGTGGAAGGAGACGAAGTGCTGAGGTAGAAGAGATCAACTCATTAAATGCAATCTCTCTTAAAGATTTCCAAAATTAGGGTTTCGCATATAAATACACACATATACATATATATATATACACACACACATATAGTGGGCAACTTTCCTTAGCACGTATATGTAACTGTTGCATATTAATTGCACGTTCAATAAATGTGTTTAGCGCATAAAGTAATGCAGTTATTTCATGAATAAATAACCTGTTTGGTCAGATTTTATTTCACTCTTTGATTAAAGAGTATCCTTTTTTTGCCCGATATTTTTTGGTCATTGTTTTCAAAGTTTTGGATCACAAATGACCGTTTAAATGATTCTATGCTCTTTAGGTATTCATGTTTTAACATGCATTTGAGTTTTTTTTTTTTGGGTGACAGCGAGAACCTACTAAATACAAATCTGAACTAAAATATTGTATTGAATGAAATTAAAATATATTTTTAAAAGTTATTGTATTTGTTTTTATAAATGGGAATAATCGAATACTTTGGATCGGACACGTCATTTTATGAGAAGTCACCCGGTCGAATCACCGTAAAATATTCAGATTTCGCATAACGAATATATCGTAAACTATTAATTTTTGTATGTATATTTATTCATCAAACTGGATAATATTCCAGAAAGAGTGATGATATATATATAATACACACACATGTCAGTGTAGGAATGGTGGCATAATTGGTAAGCTTCTATAAGAAAACAATTTTTTTTTAATAATCCGGAAGTTATCCGGATTTTTTGTCCGACTAGATCTCTCAGAAGAGTAGAGAAACCTATGTAAATACCCTTCCACTCAAATCCGGGTTGAAAAGATACTTTGCCCCTTTTCTTATACCAATTGTTAAAACAATCCGGGTTTGAGTCATCTAATAACAATTTGAGTCATCTAATAACAATTTTTGAGAAAACAATTGTTAAAAAGCCCCAAAGATTAGAATTTTTCAATTAAAAAAAAAACATTAGAGGATCTTAACTGTCTCTAAACAAGGTTGACTTGATCAAATGAAAGAGTGATTATGGGATAGTTAATGCGAACCTGTTTTGTGTATTTATTAGTTGGACCATTATAATATGATACATTGATACTCATTAGTCATTAGAGTTTATATAAAGCAGGAAAAAAAGGCAGAAGATGAGAAATAATTGAAAAGAATCAGAATAAGTTCCTACGAATGAAATCCAATAATATCCAAATTTTTTTATAAATTGAATTATATATACTATTTTAATTAGGCCATACATATGCTTATTTTTACAGTGTGTTATATTGTTATTTACTCTGAATATGCATATCTCTTCATGCGACATGGTATGCAATATTTCATCATTTATTCTGCATGTAATTACTATTTATGATAAGCATGAGACTAACGTTGCAAAAAAAAAAATACTAATAATAATGAGATCGCTATCTTTTAATTATAATTAATTAAGATCGTTATCAGTTGTTTATATTAATGAGTCCATTAATTACGATGCCAAGTTGTCAAAATGGATAAAATCATCCCGAGGAGGAGGGGACCTCATTTTATGGTTAATTAGTATTTTAATTGGGTGTTTAATATATCATTAAATAATAAATTGTATTTTAATTTGGAACCCTTCTATTCTCAATACGTGTTGGCGTCCGAGGAGACAAAAGGTGACGCAAAGCCCTAAAGATTCTCTCATCCAATCCCTTTTTTTGTTCACCTTATGACGATTTTGCAAAAACATTATTTAAGTAAACCTAATTACGTTTTATTATTTGTATTATTCCAACTACACATGTAACGAAATATATTAATTATAATATATATATATATATACACTCTCGTGAAAAAATGATGTTATTAATATATGTAATGTGAAAGATTTATTTGATAACTAAAAGAGGTTATTTACTATGTTAGAGTGGTCCATAAATTGTTATATATATTAGACGATAAAAATAAATATTAATATTTAATGTTCTTATATTAGAATATGATAATAGTGTTCTTAAATATCCATTTAAACTAATGATACAGATATTCTGGCCACTTCACGTATTTAAAGAGAAACAAAGGCCAATCAAAATAATTATATATAATCCGTGAAATGAGTCATTCTAACCAAATTTTAATTACTATTTTATAAAATATTTTTGGTTCCATTTTGATATATTAAAATCAAGTCATTTTTAAAATTTTTGGCGGAACCCGAATGGATTTATATATTTTAGAGTATATGTAACTTTGGCATCAAATAAAAGTGGATTTGGAACATAAACCAATCATCTTCAGGTTTAATGAACCTATGTGACGTCATCTGTGTTTTTTAATTTAAATTTAAGCAAAAGAAAAATCTGTTGATCGCCTTCACTTCATGGAACTCGGGAGGGACCACGACGTGCGGAGCACGTGCCTATGGATGAGATTTCACGTGTCACATGCATACCGTTTTATTCCTATATATATATTTATCAAGGATCAAGTTAGATTATTAAACTTATATTTGTTAATCAATAGAATTGATTGTGACATTTATAAAGTTAAACAATCTATAAATTGAAAAATCTATAGAGTAGGTCCACCATCTTACCCAATAACTAATGCATAATAATTTTTATTCAAATAAATACGTGAATGCAATACGATCATTTAACTTATAATTAGTATATATGAGGCAGACTCTGTGAACTCGGAATGCAAGGGCAAGATAAAGTTTCCTCCATGATTTTTTAAAAAAGGGTTTCCATAATATTTAAATTATTAGTTATTTAATAATCAATTAATAATATTAAAGTGATCTGTCTTCCGAATTGCAATTATTGGAAACACGTGAGAACGGAATGACAACATTTTGCATGTCTCTCTCATCCCTTACAATTATTTTGTTATTCAATTTAATAAAATTCTAAATAAATGTAAAAATAATTAAAAATTCCAATTCATATTAAATATTTTTATAAAATAATATTTTTTGAATAATCCAGATAGAATTTGTTAAACTTGATTCCTTTGGCATGAAACTAAAATCCCAAATGTTAAAAAAATAATCGAGAAAAATTAAAATAAAGAGATTGTTATATGTCTATATAAATGTATATTCAATGTATTATTTTTTCCCATCGTATTGCAGACACTGAGCGTGGGCTTCATTATTGGGCTTAAGCAGGCCCAATTAATCAGAGATCTTAATACATAATGGGCTCACTTCATGGATTTACAGGCCCATAGGTTCAATGAAGGAACGAATCCAATAATGAAGCGTCAAAATAAAACTGTGAAGCAATCACACATTGATGACATTGCCATAATCCACGATGGATTCACAGCCCTTTCTTGTTGTCTTGGTGACTAACATTTCCCGCCCCCACAAAATCCCTCTCAAAACCTTAACTAACCCAATCACAGCACATACGTAATACATCCACCAATTCACATAATCCAAAACCTCTAGACCGATCAGAAGCTTACGCTTGATCTCCGCCACCGCGGCCAAACCCTCCACCTCCTTCCGAAGCTTCCACCACCACATCGCCCCGAACGTCGCTGCCACCACCGCCCTCTCCGACCACCGCTCCTCCGTGTATCCCCCGAATATGGTGTCGTCGACCACCGGCTTCACGACCATTCTGAACCATGTCAGCATCACTTCGTGAAGACCCAAGAAAAACATGACCCTGGTCCAATTCCAAACCCACCTTTCTTGCGACTCCAGAAACGATCTGCCGTCGAGGCTCACAGACACGGTTCCTCGGATTCCGATGGCGATACAAGACTGGACTGCGAAAAGGACAATCCAGCCGATATAGAGACGGGAATGGAGGACAGAGTTCACTGTTTTGCCGCAGAGGCTGTGGATCAAAGTGGCGACGGTGATAAACGACATGATGATGTAAAGGATGCCCACGTTGATTTGATGAAGAGGATGGTTCATGGATAAGAGATTATGGGAAAATCCAGTGGGAATGAGAGTGGAGAGTGCGGGGAGGTGATAGTTGAAGAGGGAAAGATGGGAGAGGAAGAGAAATGAGAGAGGGACGAGGAGGCTGAGGAAGCTTATGGATATCATCTGAAATGTCCGAAACAGACAACTGTTTCTGTCCTTCTGCGTCTCTCCATCTTCCATATCTGTTTTTCTCATATGGGTTTGAAGAAAAAAACGTAGAGATGATGATGATGATGATGAAGGTGGAAGAAAAATTGTTGCTTAGATGACAAGGAAGAGAGCATGGAAGAGATCTAAATAAAGCCTAAGAAGGCGTATTTGGCAGCCACGTTCCATTCCATGGCCTTGCGAGATAAGGTTATATTTGTATCCTCTATTTTACTTTTAAAAATAATAATGTTTTTTTAAGGAATATAATGTCATTTTTTTTGGTACATTACGTGGGAGGAGACTTTTGACCAATGCTTCCGACGGACCCAACAGCACAAAGTGTTGGACCATTACATGTTTTTTTTGTATATACCCATTTTTTTAAAAATAAGGATTTTTAATTTTTAAAGATGGTTATTAAATTAGTTGGGTCTAACAAATATCAAATGGTAAGATCTATATTTCAGATTTTTATTTTTATCTAAGAAACAAAAAAAAAACCCGAGTGGGGGTGGTGACAGGTAATAACTCAATATAAAATGTTAGTTACGAGTCCTAATTCTGTTTGACAATTTGGAACAACTTCGAACTAGTGGAAATGGAACCGCCCTTTCGAAGAAAAGAGAAGAGCCGAAGAACCTTCGGAACAAGGCAGAGACTCTTCGAAAACTCTCTTTTAGTCATGTTTACTATTTTATGCAAATGGCCATTCACATCAACATCAACATCAACATAGATATCGCCTTAATCCCAAATTTATTTAGAGTTTGCGTCATATCCTCCGATATATACAAATGACAATACACATAAAAAAAAATATATAAAAACTGAATGATTTTCGTTAAACCATTTGATGAGAATGCCACGAGTGATGTGTAATGAAAATTATTCAGTTTTTGTATTTTTTGCCTCGAACCAAGTAAGATCCAGCAGCTTGTAAGTAGGGCCAAAATGAATCTTGTGGCTTACAAGGGAAGGGTTTGTAGCAGATGCCTCATTTTCTGAAAAGTTGATCCCTGTATGAGGCGTGATATCCATTGATATGTTCGCCCTTGATAAGCTTAGCGCATAGAAGTCAATCAGCTCCCAAGCTGGGAAGAAAATTCACCCAGAAACAAGTTCCAGTCAGGGCTCTCTGAAAAATTCAAGAGAAGAATATCCAGCTTTATAGGATACACACAGTGGCAACCACGAGTCCCTCGTTTCAGCACTGCGTCTGGTTTGCAACAACCTGGCATAACAACAAATGAATAGCTCTAGTATTTAACCGGCATCTTGTTGCTAGTGTAATAACAGACCAAACAGGTAAAGAACAACAAATTTGAGACTGGGAACATGTTGTCAGTAGCTTTAACTTTAAAGAATTCTTAAAAGGGCTGATGTTAGCTATATTAAAAGCTATACCAAATCATAGAAAACCCAAAGAAAGAAAAATGTCAAAGAGAAACAAAAAATGGGCTCGGCTAACATCTTACTCGAACTGCGAGGAGATAGAGGTGGTTGTGATATGTCAGCAGGGAGCGAACCATTACTTGGTTGT